CGCCTATCACATAGTAAGGCTCTGGAAGCGGAGTGGCCGAGCACACCTCTTCGAGATGCGTCCAGAAAGGGGTCTTCTGAGTTTCCGTATCGGTTTTATCATGTGGGGCGTATACTCCGTGAAAATGAGTGGGTGCGGACTTCATTGCTACAACGATCTCAATATGTCTGCTACTATGTTGAATGATATCTTGTACGAAGGGCCTGAGACTGGGTGCTACAATAGCTCCAACCCCGCCATAGGGATCTCGCTTATTGCCATTGTGTATGACCCAAAAACCTTTTGACACATAAGAATGATATGAGGTGGAGCGTGTTTCCGTGATGAAGAGAATATCTAATTTCCGAGTGACCATCATGTCCAACAGGCACTGATGCTTGAGTATTTCGGCCATGGATTGTACGTTCTGGGTGGCTACTTTGAGAAGTTTACCGTAAGACAACTGTGGGGTAACCAATTTGGGCGTGGGTGATTTACGCGGGTGGGGGTGATGTTGCAACAGAATTCTTTCCCTAAAAATCCTGGCGTTTGAAAGCTTCGCTCGTCGCGTTTGCTTGGCTGCTTTCTGGGGTGTATCCTCCCTGGCTAAAGTCTTACCCAAGGACCCTAACCTTATAGATTCCCTCGAGGACCGTTTCCATTGGCGATACAACCGCCGGCGGAGTAAACGAGCCCTGGACCCCCGACCTAAAAGGGAACGAAAGTGGCAGAATAGTAGGGGTGAACACTCTTCGTTCTCCACGGTAGTGGAACCCGGCGTGCCTCGATGAGGCGGTGTAGGCTTAGGGCTTTGAATTATTTGAATTAATTGAATTCTGGGTGGCAGGTGAAATCCAGGGCGTACCTCTTAAAGGAGTCCTGTTCTTAGGGCGGAGTGGTCGAACAGTCTTGAAACCACGATTGCCAGTATTGGGATCCCGATATTGCTTTCTGTATCCCGTACGTCTAAACTTGGGCCGGGGTCCTAGAGGAATAATGGGACTATCTCCTTGAGGGCGTTGGCGCAGGCTCAGAAGAAAAGCGGGGGAATATGAAACTTTATTAGGCCCTAAAACCATACACAGCGGATCCGGATCAAAAGTATTAGGTAGAATCGGCGGAGTACTCAGGGAAGTGGCCCTTCCAGTGTTTGAGCCTGTTGGGGGAATCAAGGTCTCTAGGGATAAGACTTGCGGGTTGCCGTTGATGGAATGTACCAGTTTATTTCGGCTCTTCTGGAGTATGACTTGAAAGGCCTTATTAAGGATTGTACTAGACATGCAACACGTTGTGTAGACTACCAAAGCATCTAGAAACACAATTGAAGCATTGGTGCGGTGCGGAGTGGTGTAGTAGTAAACACAAACGAAACCGATGGCTACATTTCCTAGTGCGCTGACCAGGCTTGGGCGGGGTGGTTTATGCTTCTGAGGCTTGCGTCTACAGTTCTTACCCCTAGGCTTTGACATGTTCCACTGAAGGCTTTTAGCGTCAGTGGTGACTCGCATCTGCTGGCAGAAAGAAGGTGGTGCATTGCGAGCTTGAAGCTCCGGTGATCTCAAGGCTCTCAACTTCACATGTGACCCCTGGTAGGAATTAAAAAGCCCGATAAACTTACAAGTACGGCTTGAGACGTCTACAACTTCGTGCTGACAGCCATTCTCTGCCCCCCCCACGCAGCGCGACACCAGGCCCTGGGGTTTGAAGGCGCCTGGGCACAGCTGCTCAAAAGTCTCAAAAGGTGGGGTTGTCGGGGCGCAAAACATGCAACAACCGGGGTTTTGGAGCGTAGTAGTCCTCAGATCTTCATCGGAGAACTGCGCATTCGAAGAAGCTAAATCCCGGTAATTAACTGGAAGGTCTCTTGTCTGAAAGAGACACCGTCACGAGTGCCGTGGAGGAGGGGATTTGGCAAAGACTGCAGGCGTCTGGGAGGTTGCCTCCCTTTGCTGTGCAGCGGTCACAGGCGACGCACCTGGACGACCGATGTACGTGGCCATCTTGTAGTCGCCGCACTTCCAATCCCCTTCCTTCATCTTGTCACAATACTCGTCCCAAACAAAAGCTATGCTAGAGACCTTCCGGATGGTCAGGGGCACTGGAAAAGGGTCCATGTCGCTGCTGTAGATAAGGGGGGCGGAGTAATGACGCTTACTCTTTCCCAAGGATACACCTTTTCCATCTCCCTTCGAGGCCTTCGCCTTCTCAAGAAAGAGAGACTTTTCCGCCAGGTCCATTTCGTGTTGGACTCCAAAGGCTATGTGATTCCAAGCCCAGGCCCACAACGAGGGCTCTTCGACATTCCAGTCCGCGGGCGGAGTAGACGACATGGCCTCGTGGATGCTTTCATCCACTTCCAAGAGGCCTTGGAAAACGTGATTCTCTTCGAAATAATGGAGACGAGCGCAGGCTGTTGCAGCCTCGTTGAAAACTCGCTCCGTCTGTGGACTCATCACAGTCAGCGTGCGCCATAAGATGACCACCTGATTGCTGGGGAGATTTGAAGCCTGATTTATGACCTCCAAAAGGACACGCACTGGCATCTCTAGTTTTCGCTGATATTGAGGTGTCGCTGGAGATACCCTCACATGTCGATTGGGCACGGGGCTGCGGCTGTCGCGCCATAACGGCGTACCGCTCGTGCCGCCGAACTCCGTCAGGAACGCTTTGCGCAAATCCCAACTCTTAAAGAGAACTATTGAAACACTCGAGAAAGCACCCCCAGAAGTGGGCGGGGTGGAAGGGTCCTGCTGGAGGCAATTCAACCACCAGTACGGCGACTCATCCTGATCCCAGTCGTTCCAACCGCGGTGCTTCAGGAATGCTTTCGCCTCCGTGAGCTGACCAATCATCCAATTCACCATGTACAAGCGCTCATCGCCGCTCATGTCCGGCGGGAAGCCTGTCAACAAGCACTGAAGCCCCGAAGCGATTTTCTGGCTCTGCCGGTTGTTGCTTGGGTGTATAGGGTTTCCGAACTCCAAAACCCCAAACCTAAACCCGAGGCCTTCAGAGAAACCAGGACATAGGCCTGGCGACTCGCACCTGCAAC